AACTTTTTTTGTTCATGTTTATATATATTTGTATATGCCACCTGTATATCAAAAGCGTTCTCTTTCCGAGTTTATACATTTTAGTGTGATATATTTGTGTTTAAAATGGACCTACTTGAGTCGTCACTAACTTTATAGGCGACGTGCTGTTTTTAATAAAGAAGTAAATACAATGCAAGTCGGGTTTCTAATTACAGTATTTAATATCTGATAATTATACTTACACTTTAGTTACCACCCGTGGTCACCTCTGCCTTCTGCTTAAATGCCGCGTCATTTTCTGCGTACGCTTTTTCAATCTGCTCATGGAACACTTTGTACACGTTGTTTCGCTTCATCTTCAACGTGGGGCCCAATAAGTCCGCAGGAATATTCAAATCTTCCTCAAGCCAAATCCAAAATCTAGGTGTCGCGGCGCGTGATATAACGAGCTCAGCGCCCTCCTTTAACCCAGCATCTATCTCTCTCTTGATGACCTCACATTGCTTTGCAGCAGAGTATGTGGCGGCCTTGCTGCCAACGCTCTTGGTCCATTGCAGCGATACTCCCTCGAGCTGATCCGTGGGCTTCATCGTAGCCGGGTCCATCTCCACACACAGGGACACCAACATTCCCATATATGGCTTGCGTTCACCAAACACCACACAGTTGCTAAGATACGGCATGGCCTTCTTCATGGCCTTTTCGACGGGCAAAGGGGCCACATTCTCACCCCCCGCACCAATAATCAGTTCTTTAATGCGGCCTGTGATGCTCACAAACCCTTCTTTGTCGATGGTACCCTGATCACCGCTTGCTAAGTAGCCATCCTCGGTGAGTGCATCTGCGCTCTTCTCTTCATTCTTGAGGTATCCCATAAACACATGTCGGCCGGTGAATTGGACCTCCTGAGTTTCAGGATCAATACGAAGCTCGCTGCCGGGAATTTTGCGACCGACTGAACCCTTTCGGTAACCAAGATTGGGTGTGCAGATAGAGGCTGGTCCGCAGTTTTCGGACTGTCCATACACTGAATATAAAAATATCAATTTACATTTTAGCATGCGGGCATGTGGACACATGATATCATATTCCTTCGATGTAGTATATTGAAACAATTACAGACTCTTCGTTCGCACACGAGGCGACTATAATAAAATGACAAATACTAAACAAAGTTTCAATAACGAAGTAGACTTGCAATGTACCATACCTTCGAGCAAAGGTATGTCCAATGCCGCAAACAAGTCCAAAGTATCCATTGAAATAGGTGCTGCACCAGTCACGCACAAACGGCAATGATTCAGACCCAGGGCTGCTCTGACCTTGCTGAATACCAGCGCGTTCGCCAGACTATATCCCAAACCTCCTGTAGGATTTGTGAACTTTGACTCGCCGGCAGCGGTTAGACCCTCTCGGCTGGCCGTACGCTGAAAGCCCACGCCTTTAGCCCACGAGCCAATCTTGAGCTTGAGACCTGTGGATTCGGCACCCATCGCGCGTAGTTTAGCGGCGATCTTCTCCCATACACGTGGTACTCCCATAAGGATGGTAGGTTGTACGGCAACGAGCGACTGACCAAGTGTGCCACTCTTTAAGGCATCTGGACGGGCAAAGGTGGCATGACCGCCCAGAATACAGGGAAATCCGAAGTCGAGCATCTGAGCTGCAATATGCGACAGTGGCAGATAAGATAGAACGCGATCACCTGGACCGATTCCATTCATTGTAAGCGCTGCGGTCTTTGTGGTAAAGACCATGTTATCGTGACTGATCATGACTGCTTTAGGTACTCCTGTTGTGCCAGAAGTGTAAACCAGTTTTATGCAGTTGCCGGCGACCTGCGCATTCTTGCGTTCATTAACCTCAGCTAAATGTGTATCGTTCTTGTCCAATGCTATGAATTGCTTGTACTCGTAGAGAGTCACTCCATGTTTGCGAAAGGCCTCTTTGCGTGCACTGACGTCCTCTGGATTCATATTATAGACCACTATTACTTTCAAATCAGAAAGACCGCCCTCAATAGCATCATCCAAAATTTTCTGATACTTCATCAGTTGCATTTCGCCTTCGACCACCACAGTATGCGCTTCACTATGCGCTGCTTGGTACTGACATGCCTCCGCACTGGAGGTCTCGTATACCCCGGCACTGATACCAAAGGCCATCATAGAACCCATATCTGCGGAGACCCATTCAACACTATTAAAGCCAATTATATTTACCGCCTTGTGTCGAGGAAAACCGCACGCTACCAACGCCTGGGCGAACTTCTGTGCCTCCGAGTAAAACTCTTTGTGCGAATATGTTTTGTTCGATTCGCTTGTGCAGTAGCCTGTGTCTGCCTTGGTTTGAGTGAAGGTGGTGTAGGCTGGCTCGTCTCCGTGGTCGTCTAGGATTGTTTTATTCGCCTCCCAGAAGGTTTGAACGGGAATCTTATCATCGTCATCAGTGCGGATGGGATAGACATCGCTGGCTTTTGTTACGAAGCGCTTGACCATTTTGTTTAATCGTGTGGATTCTGAATGTGTTGTTCCACTGTGCACACACAAACAAAACGCGTCCCTACTTTTATCTCTTTTTCAATTAGGTAGACGCATGTCAACGGCGGAGAACACCACCGGAAGGCGGAAACCCTCAGAAATCAGACGGCCACTGACCACTGTTGGGTACAAAACTACCAAAAAAA